TCGTATTACCATCATTATCGGCGTTTGAAACATTACGAATTTGATCGAACATGGGATGAGTTCTTTGAGATGTTTATCGATAGTCGAGGTAATAAGACAGCAGCTATAATGAATCAATCAATGATAAGGGACTGTGCAATAATTACCAGGAGGGGGCGTAAAACCAGATTTCTTAAGCAGAAAATTAGCTAGAACCCCCCTCCGAAGCACAAGAAAATAGCTCTTACCCCCCTCTGCTATATTAGAAATAACGTCGAAAACTATTAACTATGACAGCTATTAACCTTAGTTATAAAACAAGCACAAGCGAGTCGAGTCAGCTGTAGCAACCCAAAATTCACTAAAGAAGAACCTAGATGCAAGAGGTGGCTTACTCATCTGGATCTAAGTGTAAAGACAAAAACTTTCAGGAGGAGCTGACAAGCAAATGTGGTGCCCTTGCTTCTTTCAAATAATTTTGTTCCTGSAAAAGGTTTTCAAGGTCCAAAAAAGGCTTATGTAACGTTTTTATGGTCAAAAACGACTTTGATATTACTTTGTGGGAACTAGCGGTAAACTAGTGTGAGCTGCGTCGGTGTTTCTAAAGAAACAGTTGTGTAAAAAGATAAATTAAACACCGTAAAAAAGTAGGTGAAGTAACTTACTGACGTTTCGGACGTCAAAACATTTTACTCCGACGAAGGATTAACGTCCGAAACGTCAGTAAGTTACCTCACCTACTTTTCTACGGTGTTTAATTTATCTTTTTACACAATTGATATTACTTGTGCTTGTTATGTCTAATAAATCATCAATATGTTTTTCAGCTTCTCCATCTTCAATTTATGTGAAAACTACATCCTCAATTTATGTGACAAAATTCTTGAAAAAAATAGTTATAAAAAATTCATATCTTGGTCAATTTCCCCTATTTTGTCATCAATTTTATGTGATGCCCCCCCTCTGGTTTTACGCCCCCTCCCTCCTGGTAGKTATTGCACAATCCCTTATACACTACGAAAATTAAGGCATAAAAGCTTTAGCAACCGTCCGTAATGACTTTTATAGTTAAAACAGATGCACCTATAATTGCAATAATTGCTTTGAATATGTATTTGCAAACATGYATGCATATAGGCTGCCCAACTATTGCTTGGGAGAAGAAAGAATTAGAGATGCTCATCGCAAGCTAATATTATCGGCACGCGCGTTTTGTATTTGTGGAATACCTGTGGCATACGTTACGATCCTGTGTGGTGGTCGTCGGAGAGATGAACACTGGTGGTGGCTGATCTAAGCCGCTTTTGATTGGCTACTGTATTTAAATGCTTTTTCTTATATTCCTCATTGTTGGCTATAGGTGGGGATGTGTTTCACTGTGTCGGTATGTTCCGATTATTGTTATATTATGATCGGTTATTGATTTATCGTTTATAATACGCAAGAATCGCGTAAGAAATTAAGCG